AGATAGATAGATAGATAGATAGATAGATAGATAGATAGATAGACAGACAGACAGACAGACAGACAGACAGACAGACAGACAGACAGACAGACAGACAGACAGACAGACAGACAGATGATGATGACTTTGGGGAATGGTGGTGCAGAGGTTAGAGAAGGAGAACTCGTAATCGGAATGTCGCCAGTCCGACCCCTCGGACCGACAACATAAAAATGGGGGTGGGAAAGGTGAAGCACTTGTCCAACAGGCCCTTGAGCAAGGCTCTCAACCCCCACCATGTGCTCCCCCAGGCACCCTAGATGCAGCTCTCTGCTCCACGCAGAGGCTGTGGTAGCTCGGTGTCTGTGGTTGAGTCAGGAAGGGCAGCCGACATGAAATCAATTACTAAGCATTAGTGCGAGTTCGTTCGATGTGGCGACCTGTGAGGAAAGGAACAGCCAAACGAAAAAAGAAGAATTGTTTAAGTTAATAGCTGTTGTGACAAATGTGTTTTGATATTTGCCAAAAATGCAGATGTTTTCCTTGACTTTTTAATGCTTTCATGACTTTTTATTCCCCTTCTGTTTTTGTGATGTATCTAATGTATATTAAGTATAAATTGAATGTGACAATGTGCTCACTTTACCCTTTTTCTTAGAAATCTCTTTCCAATTCAGTCAGCTTGAATTTCACCCAATTCCATTTAGGAGGTAATGGATCAGTATTTTTATTTCTTTGGGTTCACAAGAGAGGCAGCCGTATGTTACACAATAGGTCATTTTCCTCTATCTTGTTGTCAGACAGAAAGTAATTCTTTGGCCTCAGGCTGAATAATCATTAAAAGTGGGTCAAGGAACCAGGCAGCCGGCAGTATAAAGGTCCAGGGGATCTAAGGTTACACATCGTCTGCCACATAGAACACTGGCTGAGGTCGGAGAGACTGCCACAACATCTGGATTTACAGTAACAGGACAGAATAAAGAACAACAAGACATGTGGTCAACAGCATGACAGACCCATAATGAATGGTGACAGTTTAACCTTCTTTAAAGATTTGAGAAAACACTTAAAACACTTTTCAATTTCAATGTAATGTTTCGAAATATATAAACTTGTCAGTGGGAGGAAATTCTTACAGATGAGCAAACAGGATTTTTACAATTGCATCCACAACAGCATGAACAAGCTAACTCGCTCCTCTTTCATATTTTTAAATGACAATGCTCATAATTTTTTACACATAAAAAAGGAGAGTTATGCTGAAACGTGTGGAGGTGGACGAGAAAAAAAAAAGTATTTTAAAAATTCTACCTCAAGGCCCCAAAGAAACCTCATGCTGTGTAACGTTTGATCAAGCAAAACTAGACTGAAACACGTGTTTGTGCAATGAAGCTCATTAAGCTCTATTGGCAGTGGTTCATTTTGTAAGATACAGCAGTTTGTTGGTGTCAACAGCTGCCACCGTGTCATTCTGTGTATTTCACCTTTGTTTGCAAAAGATAACCGTGAAGTGGGGCAGCACACAAGGCAGGCCTCATTGCAAAGCACATCAAAGAAAGTACTTTGTACATTTACTTTGCTCTTCAGGAGGCCTCCTCTCTGTTACGATGTTAAATGTCCTGTAATGGCTCATTTTACACTGTGGTATCACCGCACAAGTCATTTTATTGTTCCTTATTAGATTTATTTCACTTGAAAAGAATAGTAGCTGTAAGAATGGCACAACTCTAGCTATTTTTTTTGATGAACGCTTATTCTAATTAAACCCGAGTCAAATGACGTGTGGGTTGACATTAAATTACATTTTGGTACAAATAGAAAGAGAGAAAAATAAATCTGACTGATTCATAAAATTAAAATTGGTCTCAGTCCAAGTAATGACTTGAGCTTTCTCGCGGCTGTTTGGAGTCATCTTACAAAGAAGCGCACTTAGCCTTTTGTGTGATTGTCCAAAGTACAGAACTAAAAATGTACCACAATCGGCAGCCTTATTTTGCATAATTTGTCTTCTTTCAAGGCACATTATGTTCATTTTTTACACAGTAGCCAAGTCATTTTAGTATCCAAGCAAAACTAAGTTATTTTAAGCCCAATTTGGATCAACGTAGATGCATGAACTACAACGACACACAGCAGCTGAATCTCACCGAAGCCCGAGAACAGAATGGGAGTAAACAGGTCACAGAGGACTTGAACTATGGTTTTAAAGGCAAACAAAGCAATGTTCTTCTTACATCATTTGAGTCACAGTAACAAGAATAAAGGTTTTACAATGACAGTGAATGCTTTCTAAGCAATACATTGTGTCATTGCAATTGGGAACAAGTTAAAAGCCAAAGAGCTTACTCATATCTCTCCTGACTCTAAAGACAAAACCACATGTCATCTAGGCTAAGAATTCAAAAAGAACATTAAGTGCCTATTTTGAAATTCCCACAGAGACTGAAAATACATGTTCACCAGGATATTTTCAAGACACAGAAGGTTCATGTTGTCAAAGTGTTTTTAAATGCCATGTCGCAGCAGGTATCTGCAGCTTTTCTTTGTTCCAAAACTAATCAACGCTAACAACTTGTTACGTAATGACACAAGCTCCATACTCTCTACTCAAAGTCCTTTGTTATTACCTGCAGCCTTAGAGTCCACAAAGTACACTTCTCTTGGCTAATGTCCAGACGTTCGACTGAACCCACACCAAGACAGACGAGCTGACCTTTCAAATTTGATATTGCTTCTTTGCTCATACCGCTGCATCACGTCCGAGCAATATTTCACAGTTGGTGTATAAAAACCAATAAGCACACAAAAAACTTTTTTTTTGTCTTTTTTGGCTGTTATGGTTATGAGATTTTAACTTTTATCCACAAACAGTGAGAACGCATGTTGCATAGAACCCAACAAATATAAGGCTATGCGTTGCAGCAGCTTCACTGCAGATACTTCATATCAGCCGAGCTGCATCCTTTCAGTAATTCAATCCTTTGCCAGGAAAATGTCACACAGGTATTCTTTGAAAAGTGTAAGTAGCAGGGAGCTATGTCAGTACTCTGACACAAAGATCACACCCTGAACTTCCTTTCCTGGACATGTCTGAGCTGTACTACCCCCAACAGCCTCTTCTAAATCTCTGCTGAGCTCGTCAGTTAATTTAGAAAATAATTGAGAAGGAGCTGACTTCTGTGAACCTGGATCCATTTGACACAGGGATGTGGTTAGCCTTTTTCTCAACCTCCTCTGTCTATTAGAGTTGATACCATCACACTATCCACCTCTTTGTCTGTCTGGAAACTTCTAAAGGAGAACAATCTCCTGGGTGAACAAAAGGGATTATCGAAGATTACCAAAGCACTCCTCAATCTCCAGCTTCAGGAATCTTGGTTTTTGGGTCATCCGATCCAGTATCTTTGTATGCGTGTGTGTACTGTCACAGGACTGGGTAGATAAAGGCAACGATAATAAAAGGAGGCTTAAAAAATATTTTAGAGTGCGCTGCTTATTTAAACATCATTTAAAATTATACGGCAAATATGATCAAATGAGAAATAACTGGTTTGGTTGCTACTTTTGCTATCATAAATGACTAATGTGACAACTTTTATTTCTTTCTTTCTTGTGAATTAACCAGAGTAAAGACTTTATCTATCAAATGAAAAATAAAAAAATAAAACATCTTGATTTGTGTCAGCCCCTTCAGTAAACTCAAATGCTCACAAATCCCAGATCAGCAGAGAAATTAACCTATTTAGGAATCAAAGGGAACTCGGAGCTCCAGTGTTGTGGAGTGTATTTTGCATACGTGAAGAGGTCCAGATGTGAAGTGCAGCTAAGGAGCATTCGACCGTGAGACTGGAGAGGAACAGCCTTGATGTCTCTGTGGGTAAGTGACAGATGCACGCTGCTGAAGGGAGAGGCAGGAGTTATGAGCCACGTGTACAAAAAGAATAAGTGCATGCCTTCCCACCCCACCACCCATCTCCGATGTACTTTTGTTCAGATACAGGACGCTCTTGTGAAATCCTGC